AGTTCCGGTTCTTCTAAAAAATAATTTGGTTTCGGGACAAATTATTAAGAATCGATTGGTTCCGGTCCGATTCTTGGTTCTAGTATGGGAACCGCGGGGAACCAAACGGTCCTCATAGAATTTTTTTTAGTGGGCATTTTTTTCTTTTTTGATAAAATATAAGACTTACTCTCCATTTTGTCTCGAAACCAAATTGGTAATATATATGACTTACTCTTAAAGTGAAAAGAAACTTCCATCAAAGTAAAACAAAATTTAAAAAAAAAAATTGTAGTATAACAACATAAGCAAAAGGAAGTGACATATGGAAATGAAACGAATGTTTATGTACATAGTTCATATGTCACTTTTTAATTAAATAATTGAGAAAAATACTGAATTGTGATTACCTGAAGGCTCAAGAAAATGTTAAAAAGGGACCCTTCAGTTGACTTTTTTCAACAAAATATATGACTTGCTCTCCAAACACTTTTATTTTGTTTTCATTTTGATGAAAGTTTGTTTAATCATTGAAGTACTAGATGGTTTATGTAAGTTAATATTTTTTTGATAATAGTAACTTATATTATTTGCATATTGTTTTAAAATTTGTATACTTAGTTTTCTTTTAATCTTTGTATAATATGTTCGATTCTTCTATATTTTTTTAAAAGTATCACATTGGTAGTTTCTTTAGATTTTTTATTAATAAACATTTTATTTTGACATCTTTATGTAAAGAACTGGACCGGACCGAACCAAACCGGAACAGATTGGTTCGGTTTCATAGCTAACAATGGAACCAATGGTTCCATTTCTAAAATTCTCATTGGTATTCGGTTCGGCTCGATTCCTTTTAGAATCTGACCGAATCGGACCGCGCCCACTCCTAAGTATGGTCTATTCTTATAACAAAATATATATGTTCAGTTTCAACAAAATAATTGTTATATTTAAATTTTTGGTCTTGTTTGATTCCCATTTATTTCAGAATATATTTTTTTATCTTTCATTTTCAACTATATATTTTTTAATAAAATAATATTACACACAAATATAAAATTTGTCCTTATTTTTAACCACATATTTTCCATCAAATCACTATTCCAAAATGCATTTTTACAAAAAAAGAAAAAAAAAGACATCTAACGAGCTTGTAACATTTTATTGGACGACGGTCAATAGTCAACGATCGCCCGTGTTGACTCAAAATCCTGGATCTGCCACTGTCTCCAGTGTCACCATCACCGTCAATAACTCACCACAACCATCGGCACCACCACCACCACCACAACCATCCCAGAACCCCAACATCATCAAAATATGGAAATCACTACCACCCATCTAACAACCAAAAAAATCATCACCACCGCGATCTACCACGATCTGGGCTGCTTTCATCATGATTTTGCAGTGAACGAAAATTCATCACGATTGCGATTTACTACATTGCAGCCACAATTTTCGTTGTTGTAGTCGTGATCTGGGCCACTGCAGTCAGATCTGCAAAGTCTACGGCAGCGCTCACAATGAAGGAATGGCTTTACCCTCCGATTTGCAGAGCTCCTACGCGATTTACCGATGGCTCTCACCTCGAAAATGGCATAGAGACAGTCTCCCGACAATGGTGCTCTCCGACAATGACGATTGAGGAAGAGTTTATAAAGTCGAGAGAGAAATGATGAGATATAGAGAGAGACAGGAGAATGAAGAATGATGAGAAATTTAGGGTTTATGAGTGAGGTGGGCCAAATGGGAATATGTTTATAAGTTTTATTTTATAATATTATTATTAATATTTAAAATTTTGATTGTATATGATTTTTGGGGGAAAAAAAAAGTGTAACTCTTAATTGTAAATGGTGATCTTGAAAACACTTAGGGGCTGTTTGATAAGCCCCTTTTCCACGGAAAATGGAAATTGATTTCCACTCTAAATCAAAAATGCATGTTTAATCGATTTTTTCTAAGCAATTCATTTTTCCACTTTCATGTCACCTCAGCCATTTTCCACCAAATTGTTCATTTACTAGGCTGTTGGCCAATTTTTATTTATTTATTTATTTATTTTGACAATGAAAACAAATTCTATTTCTAATTGTAAAAAATTATTATTTTTAATTGACAATTTTCATGTAAAATAAAGTTAAACGAATATCAAAAGATAGATGATTTTCTTTGCTTTTTTTTTTTGGAAACAAATTCTATCCCTAATACTAGTAAATTTTATCCATTTAATTGACAATTTTCATGTTAAACAAAGTCAAAGGAACACCAAAAAATATTTTTATTTCAATATTTTTGACGTGAAAAATTATATCAATTAAAACAATAATTGACAATTCCCAATAAAACAATTTCTAGAAAATTCAATTCCCTGAAATTCGTTTTCTTTCCACCCAAATTTCATTTTTA